AAGCCTTAAAATTATTTTATTATATATTTATTATAAATTTAAAATTTAAAATATATTTTATTATAAATTTTTGCTTCATAACTTCCTGTCTTATCGGCATAGGCAGGTCTGTATATCTAGAAACTATATGATGTCAACATATTATTAATTTATTAAGAACCTCTTTTTTTGCAAAATCGATCATGATCCGTATGATCAAATTTATTGCCCTAATTGGTGGACCTTTATTAATCACACATACGTTTCAGCGTGTCCTTAGTTGCCTAACTGAGTGGATCTCAAGAACCAGCAGTTTAAAAGTAATTAATGTTCGCAGGTGAACAAGGAAAATAAAAGAAACTTTCATAAAAATATTCCATTCGAAATTGTTTCCCAATAAACCTGGAGGTTGTAAGTTCGAAGAAAAAGGTTTTTTTTTCTACATCCGTCTGTAAAGTACCTAATTACACATTGAGAAAGTAATTTACGTTTAACATGTACCACCCTGTATACGTATGGCGTTCATTTATTATGTATCCCTTTTCAATTTAAATATAGCAAGAGCGCTTACAAAGCTGCGAAGCGGTGAAGGCATTCATAAACTGTATTAACACAGTTGACATAAGACTAAACACCGCTTCTAGGGACAGGATAGGTATATAATACTTTTCCAACAAATATCCTGAACCCTATGTGTCAGTTTCAGACCACTGAAATGGAATTTTTTGTTTTTTTTTTGTACACGAAAAATGGGGGGAGGGCAAATGCAAATCTCTAAAGAAGAAGCTCCCACGTATAAGTTGCGAAACCGTTTTTCTCATGGAGGGCTAGTATAGTGGGTATAACTAACTCGACCCCATGAAGTGAAAAATGCGTCCGTGCCGGATATACGCCCTTGCGTCATGCGAATGAGGTAACTATTCGGTTAACCGCGCATAATTGTGGAATAACGCACCACGACAAATGGCTGTGACACGTGGCCACGTCGTTTGTATACACAGGCTTATATCCTCCGCTTTGGAAATTGGGGGTGACGTGGGCGCGATTTTGCTCTGTCTCGTTTTCAAGGGGGGCGGTTTCATCGGTAAACCACCTTGTTTTACCAATTAACAACATTTGCAACCATTGTTTGTGCCCAAACGAGCGTCGTCAATTTTATTTACGGGGGGCGTAACTTTTTAATGGCCCCGGCCGATCGTATAGCGATTTTATTGGCCCGTCTCTGTTATTTACGGTCATTTTGTAGCCAATAGAAAACATCGGCCCCGGCGACGAAATTACAAATCATATTCTATTAAAGTAAAGACCGGACGCTGTACCGGCGAAAACCCAATTAAACAGGTTAAATTTGCCGAGCATTACATTTACGAGTTTCTGTTTAATTATCCAATAAAATTTCAATGAGGCAGCCGAGAAAATTGACAATTCCCGCACAAAAGGGATCTGTATAATGTGCGATTCGGGTATATGGGATGGAATTTTTTATTACCTCGATCGCGTATTTTTTTGTCAGTCGATATTTATGTGCCCAAGAACAAAAAACGACCTTACCAATTACTACCAAAGTCTGAGTCGCCATAGCGTCAACCGGATAAAAATGACATTTAACAAATAAAATAAGTTTCTCAATTTGACTTGATATGGCAACCTCAACAGAAACGTTCAAGATTATTTTTAATTAACATTAAAATAAATTATAAGTTTTTTACATTTCACCGGTGTGTGTCCCAAACAAGCTCCAATGAGAAGTATATACTATGCACATAATCCATTGTTATCGTCCCCAAAAATTATGGAATCGGATTCCACTGATTTGATTTAGTCCTTTTAGTGTCTAGTGAGTGTTTTAAAGGTGTAATCGCTGCTGTTTTTTCCTGTTCACGCCGGATGGGCCCGGATGGTCAGCGGGGGAGACCGTTTTTTTGTTGTCGGTCAAAGTCCAATATTGGAAGCTGAGAATAAATGTTGGTAATAGCTTTTTTGTTAACTGTTGGTCTGCGACCAAGAGCAAAAATTCCTCGATGGACGCCGGTAATTGGCCATAGTAGTCATGCCCATCTGTTTGTAAGTAGCAAAAAGAAGAAGTAGAATATACTATGCACAATATGCAACTTAACAGTAGCTTACCTTTTTTGGTAGCGGTAGCTGTTAATAGTTGCATCAATTATACCGAATTGGCATCAACATTGTTACTTGTTTTATGCCTGAGTCTACCTGCTTTTCATCCTTAGACTGGTTCCAATTGCACTACAACAAAGGAAAAGAACCAAACATATCAAAAATATTTTGCTTCATTGACGGATGAAGCGGACGTTGATCTTCAAGAAAAAATGAATTTAATTAAAGAATTCACTGTGGCTATGTGTGGTATTAAAAATTAGAATAAAGTTAATGATATATTTGTAAGACAATTTTCTATAAAAGAAGGTAATAAAGGTTTTCTAAAAAAGTTAGAAGTTTTGACTCAAACACTATACCGCCCTGTTGGATGCCACTAAAACAAAAAAAATTACTCGATTCAACTGATCCTTATTGCGCAAAATTCAACCCTGAACATTGTGGTTGATTTCTAGATGGGCATTTAGAACCGAAGGGATTTGAGTGATACCAGGCGCCTTTACAAAATAGATGATGTTTTAGAGATAACAGAAAAAAAATTACTTTGAAAATAACACCGGCGATTCTGATCCTGAATAATTTTGTACTGATATTTGTGTGTATTATATTATAGATAATATTTAATAAACAATTTTTCATTTTTCTACTGGACATGGATTAATTTTTTTTTTGTAAGAATATGTTATTCTTTTATTAAATCTAAAACGTTTATCTTTACTACTTTTATCAATGCCAAGTTTTTTAAAAGCTAATTTATTACAATTTATTAAAAGATCATTTTATCTACTACAAAACACTGCTCTATAGCCAATTAATTATATCCTAGCATTGTATCCTGTTCTACTTCTAGAAGTAAGTACGTAGAGTCTTTCTTTGTCTTGGACTTCGCTTACTCCGAATTTTTTAATTTAAATGTCTTACGACCACCATGTATGACCAAATTTTTTAAACAACCTTATAATACATTATTTGTAATTAAATTACTTTTATTTTAAGACAAGTCGGGATTGGTTGACAAAAGAGTGCAATGATTAACATCAACTCACTTGTTTGGCCGCAGCTACCAAGTAATAGGGATAAAAAAGGGAAACCTACTGTGATGTTGCATATTGTGTATAGTATAGACTTTTCACTGGAGTTAGTTTCGTTTGGTAAACGCACATTTTTTTTAATTTTAATGAAAAATAATCTTGAACATTTTCGTTAATTGCCATGTGAAGTCATATTCAGAAACTTATTTTATTTGATAAAATGTTCTTTCTATCTGGTTGACTGGTGAAGGTTGATCTTAGTTCGGATCTCTACTATAATTTTTTATTAATTCGTAATATCTAGATCGGTAGCAGCTCCAATCCTATCCATTGTCTATTGTTACGCAACTGCAACGAAGTAATTGGTATATCATACTTAGAGAAAATATCCCATTTTCTATTTGTCTCTAATTTGTTCAATAGGACTGACCAAACAGCAATTTAGGTCCATTTTACTTATGGTACTCATTTATATGGAATACATGTAAGAATTCAAATTGGGAAATTTTTTTGGGGATCTAAATACTTTCAACCTGCTTTGTATGAATTTTAAAAATCAAACTTTTTCATTAACAAGAGAGACAGATTGCAACCATATAAGCAAGACTAATAATTACAATCTATTTACACATCCTTTGGATTCCTCCTGTTAAGCTCTGAAGAAGCCAAGAGAACGATTGCTGAAACGTCAGCACTTTCGATTCATCAGCAAGTGACGCAGGGGGAATCCAGAAGATGTGTAAATATTGTTACAGTGGGTGGTAGCCTGTTAAAGTTTTACAGATGCAAAACTTTATTAGTTTCTTGGGTTTCTCTTTCAAGTTATCCCAGAAAGTTGCATCAAAAATTTTTTCCAGGTCCATTTTTTGGACGATACTTAATTTTAATGCGTATTTTTATCCCTAATAGATTTTTGTGTTTTTTGTGTTTTTTTTTGAGCATATTGTATCTGTCTACTTTATGAAGAACTCTTCTTTGAGGTACCTAACATAACAAAGCGTGTGTACAATGGTGAAAGTTTCATTAACAATCAACAAACATATAATATCCGTTTAAGCATGGGTGAAATTTAAAAAGAGCGACAAGATTAATATTTATCCAACTCCCAAGCGATTCCGCCGGAACTTTTACAATTTAATAAACATCTGCAACAACGCAGCTAATTCGACGCAACCCCAAACTCCAATGAGAAACTTCTTCAAATCCGGTAGTTCATACAACTTCACGGCTCCACTAAACCCCAACTTGCTAAATGTAATTGCATTAATATTATATTTAGAATACGTGTGGGCTTATGAACGTGTAGATATTTTACTCCGAATTTGGAAAATAAATATTGAATCCGTAAAGTCTTCTTTGATAAAATTTTACAAAATTAATTATTGACGTTAATTTTGCGTACAGCCCATTAAGCAGCGGCAATTTCTTAAAATCGCGAGATTGAAAAAAAAATTAACGTTGCAACACCTTTGGCCAACTCGCGCTGAAGTTTTTAGCTTTTCTCCGTGCGCGAAGTAATTTTAAAACTTTTGCAGCAAAACTGTGAAAACTAAGAAATCTCCCGCTTCTCCTTTTTTCCCCCCAGAGAACTCGAATCGCTTTTTATCCAATTCCAAACAATATTTTTGTTCCGACAGTTTAATTAATTCCGTTGACTTAATATTTAGTCGGGGATAGAAAATGCGCTTTTGAATAGCAAAATTAAGTCGCACGAGAAACTTTTAATTTTTCGACCAATTAGAAACAAAAGGACGTGCAAGGATTTAATTATTCAACAAATAAAAACACATCGATGAGTTAAGAACAGTTGAGGGAAACATTTCAGAAATGTGAAAATTAGGGCTTAACTAACTAGTACGTTTTCATTTTCAGATCATGTACGAGAATTCTCCTGCGGCATGATGTACTACCGAACATTTCACTTAGATGTTAAACGAGACGCCCTCTACGTTGGTGCAATGTAAGTATCTTCCATTAAATTTCAAATAGTTGTTTTGTTTATCTACTAATGACCACATATTGCATACTAAAAACTAAAATAGTCAATGTGGTGTAATGAAAGTCATCTGATAATCCAATAATCTCACAGCTACGGATTGAAGTTATATTAAAAACTAGCTTTTTCCGAAAACAATGTGTGTACCGATAAGATTTTTGAGTGCTCCTTCCTCGTATTATTAGCGCAAAAGCGTCACCTACAACCCTATCACCTCGTATTATAGAGAGATGGAAATAATTTTGTAAAGATTATTTTGCTGGTATACTTAGCCCGGTAAGTGGCTTGGGTCTGTATATTTCTAAACTAGATGGGTACTATTTCATCTTACATCGATTTCTTGCCTCTAAAAGTCAGAAGTTTATGAACTTTACGTGTAGGTGATGTGCTCCAACAAACCTCTAAATTCTGTTATTTATTTCTAGCAAAATTAAATGAAAAAATAACATTTGAAGTAATTATTAGTTTTACAACTTTGACCTAATTCAGTAATTTACAAACGAAATGACTGTACCCCAGATTATTGACGTGGCACTATATTTTTTATAAATTTAAACCATGTAGCTACTGCTACTACTACGTTAAAAAGTGATGCGCCGCAGGTGGCTATGATATTTTCGTAGAGAAGGTGTGGATCTTTTGCGCATGCCCAAATAACTGAGTTGCCACATTGCCGTAATTTTTCTGAAGAATTTGACTAATTTTCATAAAAAGGAAAAATCAGTTTCTGAAATCCGAATATAATTGGCAACGCTAGGAATTGCTATTGCCAGAGAATACTAACAGTCTGTGCCATTATTGTTTACATTGTTGGTGGATATGATCCTCTCCGTACCTTTTTCGTGTTTTTGTTAAAAACTTGTGTTTGTGGTCAAAACGGTAAGGAAAAGAATGTGCCTACATACGGCTAAGAGTTGCCTTATGTACAAATTGATTTAAAAGTGGTTTCTGTAGGACTCCCATTCAAAAACTTGTATGATTTGTGCTTTCAATAGTTGCTTCTTCACGAAATTACAACAAGTGTGGTAAATATGAGGACCTAATAGGACAAACCCGAGTGATTTAACGAACTGTAAGATACAGTTAAATAGCTACATAGGAAAGATGTTTGGGTAATATGGTTTGGTGTTCAAGAATTACAGGAAATAAAAGAAAACAATTAAGCTGCAAGTTTTACTAGAACAATCACAAGATATACCCCTTGACAATTACAAATCCTTGTAAAAATAAATACTAATTTTGTAAATCTGCATATTGGATTCGAGACAACTTAAGTTGGAAAAATATTATATGCATAACTTGGGAAGAAAAGATCTTCATTAGTCTCCAACACTTGCTTGGCTCGTGAACAAGCTATGAACAATGGATAACATTCCTTGTCAAAAAAGGAGCTGCCAGGGACGCTGATAGCTTTAGAAGACCATCAATATGTGGGGGTGATATCACTCCTTTAAACTAAACTCTTGACAAAGTAGGCAGTGTCGTAGTGTAGGTCGATAGTGTGATCAATTGTAAATCGGGTTACTTGTTTTCTGGTCATTCTATTTGCCGATGGTACTTAACAGCCCATATTTAGTGTACAAAATGGTACCTTTTTACTCATATACTCATAAAATTTATCAAATAATTCCACATTCCTCAAACATATTATTTTGTTGGTAGTAATTACCAACTTTTTTTAGGTTTAAAATATTTTTCCTGCATAATTTGTGACTGAATATTTTGCATCTTCAACATAAGTGAAATTTTGGTTGCTGGGGTGGTTTTTCGAATTTATGGTAGTTAAAATGACATTACACTTTATAGAGAAGCCTGGTACAAAACAACCAGCGGTCATCAATTTTTAAAAAGAACATATTTTCAACAGTAACATGCCAAGTTCTTCTGATTTAAATTTTGTTTCAAATTTACAGTTAATGAAATTTTTGCTTTAGTTATTTTACTAATAATTAACAATAGTTTAATGTATTGTAAATGAACAATTTTTTTATTGCTTTTATCTTTTTTTTGCAATTTTTAAAGGTGGCGATCCTCTCAAATCAAGTAATATAAAAGTTCTTGAAAACAGTAACGCTCAAGCATCTTATGACAGACACCATTGTACAAATAAAAAATAATTATTATTATGCTATTAAAAAATGCAGCATATATTTTTATTTAATTCCTTATTGCATTTATAAACAACGATATATTTTATTCTTTACAATAAAGGCCTTATTAAATGATCCATATATTTATTCATTTATATATTTACAATTTGTTCGTTCTCTAGCATGCTACTATATCTTCTGTGAACTTCAAAACGAGTTAATAAAAACGCTATATAAAATGTTATTATAATTAAAGGTAGGTCGTACTTGTGGCATAAACCACAATCTTGTCTACAAAACCAGTCTGAAGTGCGCATATGGAAAAAAAGCATTTCTTAGTAGGACATCTTCCTTTTAGAATGTTTCTTGTCAGCTTACACTTTTAAAGCATCCCCAGCATTTCCGGAAAAGTAATTTTTAGCTATTTACATTTGAATCCAGATTGCAATAAAATATAGCTAAATTATTGTGTGAATTGATACTAGTTTCTAAAGTTCGGTAGACCCAATGCAATTTCTGCATGTTTTTTTAGCAGATAAGAATTGCTGTTGAATATTTTTAAGGGGAAATTTTTAGCTGTCGTCACCATGCAATTTTTGCTAGCAAAATGTTTTTTAGATTTTGAGACAATAAATGGCACTTGTTAGCGTTTAGCACATTTTCTAATACCTACAATTTTTTAACGAAATTGTCCATTGCTACTTTTCATAATTATATATTTGGGAGGCGAAACTATCTGTAATTACTAGACTTGCGATGAAAGAATGAGCGTTCTGTCTATACGAGGAGCTTGTTTTACATTTTTTCCACTTAGATGTTTCCAGTGAGATATCTAGTACCTCAAAGTTATATTTACACTTTTAGAGTCACATTTCGTGAATTCGACTTTATTTACATTTTCAATAAAGGTTAAACTAAATTTATAAAAACAAACTGTTGGGGTCGTTTTACGTGCACAAATTCAAACAGAATTATACTAAGGACACCGATTCGCCTGCTGTAATTCAGCGTAATATTAACTCTACACTTGTCGTAAATTTTTTTAACAACGCTTTCCACACCTTCATTCATTTTGTGCCTGAAAATTTAATGGGATTTCGAAATATTTTGAAAAAGTACTGTCGAAAAAATCCACATCCAAACATTGACGACCTGCCAACGACCATGTTGGTTGTTGGAAGCCGCAAGGCCTTATGGGTCGAACGTTAGAATATCAATTAGAGCTGCCATTGGCTAAAAACGAAATTTCAAATCTCAAAATTTTGTTACATAGTTGCTTCACTATTAGCATAGGCAGGGCCTATATGTCTAGTAGCTATATGTTTTACACAATTAAAAAGTAACTGTGTTACACAAATTGAATGTAATTATGCAAATACATGAAACAGTAAAAAATTGATCCGAGATTTATACAATTCATATCAATATTAAGCAAAAAAAACAAGATGTTTCATTATTTCTCAGCCACTTTCGGAGTTTATTTTTTATTTTGAACTTAAATCCAATAGGTGACTTAATAATTAGTTCTGATAGGGTACAAAAAATATATTTTTATCATTTAATTAATCTAGCATTCGGAGTAATGTGGGGATTATTTTGTGCATGCCTCGTGATATTTTGTATTGCTTTCTGCTTTGTTGTATAAATATAACTAACCAAGACATGTTAAACAATTCATGTTATTAATGTCCAGCTTAACGCCATGAAAATTTTCTCTTACATATAGACAACCAAAATTCACAGGACACCATTGTAAATAAAACACCACGACCATTGACAGTGACCACAACGCATATTGTTACTCATAACCTCAGTTTTGTAATAAATGTCCAAAAGGGGATTAGTTTATGTAATAACCATCGAGTTGTCTAGCTAAGGATTCTACGACAGTATACAAACTAGACAGTATTTGAAGCTATTTTAAAACTAAAATAACCACATACAATAGTCGCGATATGCAGCTCTAAACCAATCAAGCAATAGTATATTGTGTATAGTGTGGCAAACGGCATTTGAGTCATCAATTTATTTGGCACGAGGTTAGCGCAGCTGAGCATGCTATACTATACTTTTTCTACGACCGTTAGTGTTTAAGTGCATTTTTGCAAAAAAACACGAACAGATTCAATAACATGACCGTGAGTTGACAAACGTCAAAATTCAAGCCGTGAGGTAAAATCTCCGAAAACATCCAATTGCTCAAAGAGCCGTGCGGTAATATCCTGGAAATGTCCGAAGTGGCTCGGATCCGTAGGACAACAAACCCAAATGACGCTAGATCGATGTTTAATTAGGTATTCGACAGAAGGGAGTAGAAAGACATTGTAATCGTAACATATCCACGTATATCTCCACAAAAAATACTATCCCCCCTCCTCTGTATAGGCGTTTACTGCTCAAATTCCACAAATATTCCAAGAGCGTATCATTTCTGGCCACCTTTTTTGATTTTGATAGTCTGGGGATATCTTTGTTACACCGAAAATTTGCCCTATGGATCGGAAAAACTTTTCATTATATGTCCATTTTAATTGGTGCACTCACCTTATTTGCTATTTTCTTGTAACTTTTGAAGACGAAACCAAATCAGTGACTTGGAACCTGATAAATCTTTTTAATTACGAATTCAAAAATATAATGTTTGGTACCGTTTTGGATATGCAGGTGTTCAGTTCATCTATGGTCGACAACAAATGTCTTACTCGAAACCGAATCTTTCAAATTTGAAAACTAAATAACCAAAGCTAAAACTGTTGCCGGTTAATTTAACACATATCGTCTTTCTATAAGAGCCTGAATCGGCTTCCCTTTTATAAGTTACTTATCAACCTTTTAAAATTTAAAAATAGGAAATATTGAAACTTTCTATTTTGA